GGAGACTTGTCTTCTCTGTTGGGGATTTGCAAACCCCTCATCTGAGCGGGACGTGACACTGACACAAGAGGCTAAGGTGACCCTGCAATTTTATTGGGAAATAGACTGTTAGATCCACTGTTACATGATGCTAAGACTGTTGAGGCTAATTTGGGAACACCAGACTCTTGCAAACTATGGTGTGAATAATTTCATGTAATAAATTCATTGAGTGACGAGTCACACAACAGTTGTCTTGCATCAATAAATGATCATCTCTCTCTGTGACGGCTTGCGTGGCTGCCACAAACTGATATTAGGTATTGAATATCTTTGTAATTATGAAGACTCTAGACAGTATTTTAAACAAGTTTCCTGAGAAGACTCATATGTCAGGCTTCCTTACCTTTCACTAGCAGTCTTTTCAAAATCACCCTGCTTTGCAGGGATATTTTTCTATGTTATGAAAGATTTAATACTGTCTGTAAGCCACTAATACACCACTATTGCCTTCTGGTACGGGCTGTTACTGTGTTAGTCCTCTGTATTCACAGAAATGAGCTACAGTGGGGCCGTTGTCCTGCCTTTCTGGGATGCACATCACTGAGCCAATCTCGTCCTTTCACTGATGGTATCTGGACTGTTCTGAAGTCTAGGACACTGCAGTTTTGTTTCCATTTCTTTGACTATATGCTTTGTGATGCTCTTTCCTAACAGCATGCCCTTTCCATTCTGGTACACTGGAATTTGGCCCCAGAATCTCATTCTTCAGTTGAAGGCAAATTTCTACAAAATCTTTCATGTTGCATCACAAAGTTATTACTCTGAAAAGGAAGGAAGCTCAGCGAAGCACTGCAATTTCAGGACAGACTACTGCAGGGCCAGTCCATGAAATCTGGTCCATTGTCACCCATCTGACAGCAGGTATTATTTCTAATGTATCACACACACAGTGTTATTACAGGCAACCAAAACTTCCCCTTCTGATAGTCTGCAAACTGCAGGCTATATCACTCACAAGAGCAGAAAGGATATTGCGAACACCCTTTCAGCTAAATCACTCTCCTGATCAGGACTGAGCAAAGGCTCTTCAAGGAGCCATCTGCTATTTCCTATCTGTTTCAGCCTCGTAATGACCTTTACAGGTCTGTGGATGGCCTGTAATTCACAGCTTTGGTGTATTGCTGTTACTCATTTTGCTAAGCATTTCATTTTTTATAGGCAAAACAATTTGCACTGTTAACAAAATCATTATAACAATTAAAATGACAACTGTAAAAAGGAAAGCCCTGCTTAAAAATGCCTGTAACTGTGGGAAGCCACCATTAGGAGGGATTCCAGTCATGGCTACAATATGAGTAATCTCCTTGATATTCTAACAGACTGTAATTTCTGGAAATCTACCTAGCTGACAAATCCAGTAAAGGTGGGGTGTTTGATATGCACCTTAGTAGTTCAGCAGGCACTAGTTTAAAGATACCAAACAACAGCATTTACATGATGGAGTTTGGTGGTCACTTCTACGCATGCCATGTAATCAAGTCCTCTCATCAAGATGACACTATAAATACACCTATTTTTGTCACTTTATGCACTGAAAAGATTTACATACACAAGTGACCTGTTTCTAACCAACCGATAAAGTTGCATTTACTTAAGTTAAAATATAAGAAGACATCTGATGACTGTAGATGTAGGTCTTCACAGATGTTTTTCACAGGTTGCTCTGCAATTTAAACAACCAATATCTGTACAGTGAAACCAGAAAGTTTTATCTTGCTCTAATCCATCTTAACTGATAAATACCAAGGTTAAAACAGAACATCTTTTGGGTTACCACACCCTGAGTAAGCAGGTGGATTTCTAAGTATATGACCCCAGCGTCAACATGTTTTTCTTTTAACATAGTTGTATGTTTCTAACATTACCTGGTTGGCTCTTTCAGAAAAAAAAAAAAAAACAAAAAACAAAAAAAGACAAACACACACCACAAAAAACAACCCCCACACACCCTTTTTCATTAAATTGGAATGCTTGCAAATTGTACACATACAGAAAGTTTTGGTTATCAGTCTCCACAAATGACAAATCTCTGGTTTTGACCATATGATATTTCTCTTCCAACAGTTCCCTCCCATAAGCATTTAAAAACATCCCCAGTATAGCCCTGCACAAAGTGACCTTTTTTCTAACCTCAGTGTTGCAAAACTACGCATGATGCTATGCAACCTTTTAGAGTACTTTTTACCATAATAAGCGTTTCTATACTTAACTGACTCACCTTTTCTTTTTTATAATGCTCACCATTTTACAGCTATGAAGTCACATCCTACCTGTATGTACGTTGTTACATATTCAGACATTGTTCGTTTATGTATTAGTGATCTGATAGTCATGACTCCTATTAATAATGGAGGTACATTTATAATCACTGAGAAAAACAGTTTAATGCATTTGGAGGTGGAGGCATGGTTATAGTGGGATCTATTTCTCCATCTTACCTCAATTTGTCAATATTTTTCTGTTGCTTTTAAGTTCAGCTATAGCAATCAATCTGACAATAATATTATATCTTTCCCTTTCACTTGCACATATATGATAATTAAACCAAAAAAAAATACCCAAACAGTTAAAGCTAAGCAACCTCTCTCTCCACTGGTGAGTTTCTGGTGATTTGGTTTTCAGTCTTTGTGTATGTTATCCACTGCTTCCATCTCTTCTCTGTAACAAAAGATGAACTTCATGGCTTAATTTAAATCAACAGTCCCTCTTTACATAAACAGAAAAACTGGCTTTAATACATAAGTTTGAAACACATTTACAGCATTGACTTCAGGCTTTCAAAGCCAACTGTATCCCTATTCAGTAAGAATATAATTAATTCTCTCCATCTCACATCTTCAAATACACATGCTAAACTCACAGTTCTCTCAGATCTCAACCACTTCAGTACCAACAGCACTCATTTTAAACTTCTCCTTTTTATTTTCTTCCCAGTGCCTACTGTGTGGCCAATGTACACATTCCTCCAAGATCTCATTCAAGCACACACTCACCTATTTATTTGAAAACACATTACTGATTTTCATAATACTACTGTCATTAAGCCTGAACTATTATTTATCATGAAACCTCTTAGATTTGTTTATCTTTAATCCTTCATTTTAGTTGCATTAAATTTGCCTAACAATCAGGAACTTTTTTTGTGTATAGCTCTCTGTCTTCCAAAACTTTCTGGAAGCCATGTTAGAGATTCCACAAATGTAAAAATAAACCAGTAAGTCAAAAAAAAACCCAAAAAAAAACCCCCACAAAAAAACAAACCCAACCCAAAGAAAGCAAATTATACTCTTTTATTCTTCTACCTCTTTTTTTTTTTTTTTTT